TGTTTTAACATCTTTATTTCATTTATTTCTGCTCTGATCATTGTTGTTTCTTTCCTGATACTAATTTTGAGTTTGTTTTTACTTTTCCAGTTCCTTGAATTGCATTGTTGTTTATTTGAAATCTTTTTATTTTTTATTTTTTGGTGTAGGTGCTTATTGCTATAAACTTCCACATGGTGCTGTTTTTGCTGTGTCCTGTAGGTTTGGGTATGTTGTGTTTCTATTTTGCTTCAAGACATTTTAAATTTTCCTTTTCTTTGTTAACCTATTGATCACTTGAAAACAATTTCTATATATTTGTACAATTTCAAGTTCTTCTTGTTGTGATTTCTAGTTTTGTTCCACTGTTTTCAGAGAAGATACATGGTATGATTTCAATTTTTCAAAAAAAGAAAGTTGAGACTAATTTTGTGACCTAATATATATTTTTTAAATTTTTTCCTGGAGAATGCGATGAGAAAAATGTCTATTCTATAGCTGTTGGGTGAAATGTTCTGTAAATGTCTGTGAGGTCCATTTGGTCTAATGTATAATTTTATCTCTGATTTTTGGGTTTTGTTTTTAGAATGTCAATATCCTAGAATTTTGACAGTTTGATTTTAATATGCCTTGGAGAGAATATTTCTCAATCAAATCTATTTGGGGTCCTTTGGGACTCTTGGATCTGGATTTCTCTATCTCTCTCAGGATTTGGGAAAATTTCAGTCATTATTTTGTTAAATCAGTTTTCTATACCTTTTCCCTGAAGTTTCTTGTGACAATATATTTGGTCACAAAATAAGTCTCATTAATTTTCATGCCCTTCCCCTATAATTCTATGCCTTCTCCTATAATGTGAATGTTTGCTTAATAGTGTTGGAGAAATTTTGTAGGCTTTCTTTGTCTTTTTTTAAATTTATTTATCTGGCTGGCGTTATTTTAAAGACCAGTCTTCAAGTTCAGAAATTCTCCCTTTTGCTTGATGTAGTCTCTTGTTGAGCTTTTCAATCACACTTTCATTTCACTTACTGAGTTCTTCAGCTCCAAGATGTCTGTTTAGTTCATTTTTATAATACATACGTCTTTACTAATTTTTCTTTCAGATCATGAACTTTATTGAATTGTCTGATTCTCTTATATCTTATTGCATTTCCTTGGAATTATTATTTTGAATTATTTCTTAAACATTTTTTTTCCAAATTCTTTTTTTGGGGGAGGGGCAATCTATTGCTAGAGAATTATTGCCTTCCTTTGGAGAGTCATGTTAGCTTGCTTTTTCTTAATCTGGACATCTTTCTTTCTTTCTTTCTTAGCTACACATGACATTACAATGATCTTGGCAATTCTTACATTTGAAACAATTGGGGTATGATTTCTCATTTTTCTGATTGTACAGATTGCAAAATCACACTGGTCATAGAGTCACCTATATACATACAGCAATCATATTGTCTATTCTATTCTGCTGCCCTTCCTATCCCCCCTTCCCCTCCCCTCCCCTCCCATCATTTCTCTCTATCCAATCTAATGTGACACACTTTTTTTTCCTTTTTCTCCTCACAACATCATACATGTATTCTGCATAACGATGAGGTTCTCCTTCCATCTTCCGTGCAAGTCCCCTTCTCCTTCCTTTTCCCTCCCACCTCTCTTCCCTATTTAGTGGTAATCTTCTTCTCATGCTCTTCCTCCCTATCCCATTTTGAGTCACCCCCCTTAATATCAGAGAAGACATTCGGCATTTGTTTTTTTAGGGATTGACTAACTTAGCATAATCTGCTCTAATGCCATCCATTTCCCTGCAAATGCCATGATCTTGTTATTTTTTAGTGCTGAGTAATATTCCATTGTGTATAAATGCCACATTTTTAAAATCCATTCATCTATTGAAGGGCATCTAGGTTGGTTCCACAGTCTAGCTATTATGAATTGTGCTGCTATAAACATTGATGTGGCTGTGTAATCTGGACATCTTTTAGTTGATATTTGCATATCTGGTGGCTTACTTGTCTCTACCAGTTTTTTAGGATGGTTTTTTATTTTTGTTTTTGGTATGTGTATTAATCAGATTTCCATCATTGTGACAAAATACTGGAGAGAAACAACTTATAAGGAGGAAAGGTTTATTTTGGCTCACAGTTTCAGAAACTTCATCACTTGTCCCTGTTGCCTTTGGGCCTGTGGCAAGTCAATACATCATGGTGGGGAGTGTGTGGCAGAAGAAGTTGCTCACATCATGGTGGCTGGGAAGGGAAAACACAGAGGAAGGGCCTGGGTCTCAATATCCCCTTTGAGAGTATAACTTGGAGACCAGGCCCCACCTCTTAGAGGTCCCACCACCTTCTGGGGGCATCAAGCCTTGACTCATAGGTCTTTGGGGTACACTTACCAAAACCACAGGTCGGAGTGAGACTTTTCCCCTGGGGATGTGTCTTGGGTGCTGCTGAGGAGGCTACGTTGGTGGCAGTTCTGGGTGGGCATGGTGGTTTAGTCCTCCTTCCGCTTCTCCTCTGTAATCAGGGTCAGTGATGCCTGTGGGCGTGGGTGTGCCTGTGGCTCTGGCATGGTGTGTGTTTTGCTGTGGGTACGGGGCACCCATCAGTTTCTGGGGGCTGGGAGGGGGCAGAGCCGCTCTGGTGGGATCTGTCTGGTGGGCACCTGTCAGATCCTGAGGGTTGCGTGGGGTGGAGCTCCTCCAGCCAGACCCAGAGTGGGAGTGGTGTGGGGCATGCAGCAGGGATAGGGCCGTGGGCAGAGGGTGGGGTGGGGGTGCCCTCAAAATGGCACCATGCAGCATCTGCCAGGTTGAAAGAAGGTGCAGCATGGACTGGGCTCCCTCTCTGGGGCAATGGAGAGGTGGACACTCATGTCAGCTCCCCTGCTGGGCTCGGGGCTGCAGGACTCCCCAGGGGTGAAACCTCAGGTGTCTGTGGCATCAGTGGGCACCGCTGGGGTCCTCCCGCTTGCCTTTTCCCTATCGTGGAAGACACAAGGCACTTCCCTCCCTTCTTTATAAGGCCACGATCCACAGCTTCTCCATTTTATCCGCACGGCGCTCCAGCCTTCTCCTCTAAATGTTCTTGTCGGATAGAAGCTGTTGATTCTTTGTGAGGTCCCTCTTTGTGGGTGGGAAGCTGTCTGGCACCTCTGCTAAGCCATCTTGCCAGAAGTCCCTGAAAAATTAGAACTGTACACTCTCAAGGGTCAATTTCATAGTATATGAATTTTATCTCATAAAGCTGTTAAAAAAGCTTTGTGACCTTGGGTTAAATATTTCTTTGATATGACAAAACTGTGATCCATAAAGTTATATATTGGATTTCATCTAAAGAAAATAGCATAAAATGCTACATACTCTATGATTTTCAGTCCACAGAAGGAAAAACTATACAAAAAAAAAAATATACCAGATCAGTGTTGGCTGGGGACTGAGGGGCTGGCTTTCGAGAGGCACCGGGAACTTCTGGGGGTGATGGGACTCTTTTCTATCTCAACCGTGGTAGTGGATATGAGTCCTTATGGGTTTGTCCAACTCTAAGAAGTTTCCCTTGAAAAGAATGAAGATTATTTTATATTTATATATTCTAATAATAATATTAGACCTTACTTTTTTTGATCAGAAAAATAAATGTAAAGAAAAAATAATGCTATGTTAAATTATTTTGTACACAGACATCTAATGTATACAAACTTCTAGAGATTTTGATAAATACTTACAACTACCCCCAGGGTCACACTTGTCACCATGCCCCACTCAGAGCAGGACTTAGGGGCTTAGTGACATCCCCCACTTCTGAAGCCACTTGTCCTGATGGAAGGAAGACAGCATGTGTGTTGGAGAGAAAGACAACCTCTGAACCAGGGGTCTGAGGACTTGGCAAAGATATTGGGAAGGGCAGGATGTGTAAGGAAAATGTAACACATCTCCTGTTAGCCGGGAGGTTTGAAGTGACAACTGAATCTCCTTCCCGTACCCACAGTGCCTAACCCCAGGAACAGCAATGAGGTTGGAAGAATAAATGGATTAATAAATGAGAGAGTTAACAGACAGTAAAAGTTTGGAGTCAATAAAAACAAAAATTCTTTGGTTTGGGATCTGGGGGTTCAAGCTCAGGTTAAGACTCGGGCCATGCAAGCTGGAGACTTGCTGCTGAGTCCCACGTAAGGAGAAGCAAGGTGGCCCCGGTGGGTACCTGGAGGACACGTGATCCTGGGGGTCCACCTTGGTCCCTGCAACCCAGCAGAGCAGATGACATGGCTACAGGATGTCAGAGCCGATCCTTTTGGTTCTCTTTCTGGGAGACGAAGTGAAGGGTGGGGTCATGGGCCAAATGCTGGGTCATTTCATCTGGAGCTGGGCTCCTGTGGAGGCGAGATAGGGCGGGGGCAGGAAGCTGTGGGGGCCTGCCTGTGCTCTGGCAGGGAAAGGACAGGGGAGGAAGGGGCTGTGGGGTGGGCTGTTTGGAAAGGAGGAGGCTGAGGGGAAGCCTTGCGGTGTCTTTAGGAAGCCTGCAAGAGGGAGTGGGGGGTCTAGAGAGAGCTGGTGGGTGAGTAGAGATTACTGGAGTAGAGGCAGAGAGAGGAAGAGAGACAGGGTGTGTGTGTGTGTGTGTGTGTGTGAGAGAGAGAGAGAGAGAGAGAGAGAGAGAGAGCGCGCACGTGCATGCTCATGCATCAGAGCACAGGAACCTCTTCCCAAACCCAAAAGGTTCTTCTCTGAATCTTACAATTTGCATCATTTCCTCCCCATGACAAAAATAAGATGGCACGTGAGCCTGAAGAGGTTATTTGCACCAGTGAACAGAAATGACATGCGGGTGGAGTCTGCGAGGAGAGGTGGGGCCACGGAACAAACTTTTTTTTTTTTTGGTTGCAATGAATGAATGAGTGAGTGAACGGGAGTGTGCAAGAGAGTGAGTGTAAGTGAGTGTGCAAGAGCTCTTTGTGAATGTGTGTCTAGGGTTCAGCCAGAGGTCTCTGTCCCTGTGTCCCAGCCTGGAGGATTCCGGGAAAGTCTGTACCAGAGGATCCGGAATCCTTGCAGCAGCCTCTACCTGGATCTCCTGCCTCTGATTAGGAGACTTTCCAGGGGATGGTTTCCGGGGAGAACCCAGGGAGGGCAGCCGAGCTGTCTGATTCAGTGAGCCCTCCCGGGGTTGGGGGCCCCCTACTGGGTGGAGCAGCCACACCTGCTTCAAGTTCTAAGGAAGAGGGCGGAAACAGCCACCAGTGCCGCTCTTGCGATAGGCTCCTTGGGCCCCTGCGGTCTGCTGGTGGCAGTGGGTCCCACACTCCCTCACTTCCCTAAATGGGCAACTTCACTTTTAGAACCCAAGGTCCTTCCCTGGTAGACCCAGGTGGCACGTCCTGCGTCGGTCTGGGCCCTCACCTTGGATCCCCCAGGTGCCCTGGCCCCTTGCTGGGCCTCTGACTGCCCATCTGGATGGAGCATGGCCCCCATGTTCCTGCTGCTGCTGCTATGGCTACAGGACTGCGTCTCAGGTGAGAGGAATGGGGGGGGTGCTGACTTGAGGGGGGGATGCTGATCTTTTCCTGTCCCCTGGGCTCTGTTTGTCCTTGCCCAATTATCTGAATGTTTGTGAGTTGGGGGAGGGGTAGGAGGTTGGCTGGCTTAGTAGGTCCTTGGCAGACAGGTAAGAATGTTCCATCCTGATATCTGGCCCCAGGCAGAGCTAAGCCCAGGCCTCATGCCGGAGCTGGGGTGCAGCTTTGGACCCTCTACATTGGCCCCTGTGTTCCTAGGTTCCCCTGGGACCCAGAATCAGGGACCCTTGCTTGGCCTCTGTCAGGAAGGTTGTGACTGACAGGAGCCCATTGCTTCATAAACTCTCTTTGAACTCACTCTTTCTCGGAATGCTGACGCGCCATCCGGTCCCTTGGTGCTGTCCTGAAGGGAGCCAATCCCTGAAGGCCTCGCCCAGCCATGGCTACTAACGCCTTTGAAGGGGCCTCACCCATTCCTGCCAGGTCCCTTGCTGCCAAGGCGACCAAGTTACCACTTCCTGTTCTGTTCTGGGCATGGGGAGGGTTGGCAAAGTCTGCTCTCACCTCCTGTGAGAGGAGAGGTAGATGTAGGCAAAAATGCACCACCCCTGGGCAGAGGGGTTTCTCTCCTGGGCTCAGAAGTCCCAGGCTCCCTCACTGAACAACTGAGTTGGATCATTGTGTTTAGTTTTCAAGGGTCAAAGTGTTGTTTGGAGAAAGCACTAGTTTACTCAGAGGCTCAGCTTGGCAGTTGGGTTGGAAACTGGAACAGATGTCCGGGTTCTGGGCCCTTAACCATCATGCTCTGGGCTCCTCTGGGGAAAGCTGGAACAACCTGCATTTGAGAGCAGGAAGTGTGCATGCATTGAGCACTTACTGTGTTCAAGGCACTCCCATGGGGCATCCTTCTCACAGCAGGCTTTGAGGGGAGTGACATTATTCTCACTTGACAGATGGAGAAACAGAGATGCTAAATGAACTGCTCAGAGAGTTACGCGGTTAAAATAGGGTTTTCACCCATGTCTCATTTTGACTCTCTGTTCTATCTTACTTCAGATAAGTGTGTGTGTGTGTGTGTGTGTGTGTGTGTGTGTGTGTGTGTGTGTAAAGTTCTGGGGTGCAACTGTTAGAGGAGAAAATGCTGAACTTACACAGGCCCTCCCTGTGTCCCAAGTCCTCTCCACCATACCATGGATTATGAAGGACTCAAACCACATTTTCTCTCCAGGCACAGTATTTAAGATATTGTAAACAAGCAGTGAATAGTTGCAGAATTCTTGGGAGTTTATTTGCGTATGTGGGCATACTTGATCTTTAGGTTTTATGTAACTAGAATATTTAAAAAGTAAATGCCACTTAGAATGAACGAAGGTCACATGGTATTTAAAAGGCGGCTGTAATGGGGGTGGGGCTATAGCTCAGCGGCAGATGGCTTGCCTGGCATGCATGAGGCCCTGGGTTCAATGCCCAGCACCCTCCTCCCCACAGCTCCCACGCCAAGACTAAAGTGAACCTGTTTGGGAAATAAATAGCTACTCGTCATTTTCCCCCCAAATATTGGACTTTCTTATCTACCTCAGTGTTTGTGTTTTGAATTTCCAGACTTAAGACTTGTCATTATGCATGAGCATCTGTCTCATGGAGGTGGCATCTGGATCTTTCCTAAAAGACTAGGAATCCCTGAAGACTAGAAAGTACTGTGAAGGAGGGGCTGTGTCTGATGGAGCTCGGAACACTAGGGCTGAGTTTCCTGCATTAGACTTGGGACTCCCTGAAGGACAGGTCAGCCTCCCCCACAGATGGGGAGCCAGCTGTCTGCAGGTCTGTGCATCTCCTGCATCAGAGGGGGGAGCTCTAGGGTAGCGGAGGGGCAGCGAAGCCCCTCCTTCACCTTTGGCCAGGCGCTGAGGTTCAAGGTGCATTCAGCTCCTCTCTCTCCAGACCTTGCTCAGCGGGTTGTGTCTCCCCAGGTCTCCCCGCTGAGAGCGTGTACAACAAAGTGCAGCACCTGGAAGGGGAGACCCTGTCTGTGCAGTGCTCCTACAAGGGCCGCAAAAACCGCGTGGAGGGCAAGGTTTGGTGCAAGGTCAGGAAGAGGAGGTGTGAGCCTGGATTTGCCCGGGTCTGGGTGAAGGGGCCACGTTACCTGCTGGAGGACGACGTCCAGGCCAAGGTGGTCAACATCACCATGGAGGCCCTCAAGCGCCAGGACTCGGGCCGATATTGGTGCATGCGCAACAGCTCCGGGATCCTCTACCCCATGATGGGCATACAGCTGGAAGTGTCTCCAGGTAAGCAAGCTTTCCAGGGATGGCCGGCGCGCATGCCTGTGTGTTTGCGCGTGTGCGTGTGCGTGTCCTCCACTAACAACCAACAGAATAAGAATCATAATCCATAAACAAATTAAACAGATTATGGGCAATATATATATATATTTTAATGTTACTAGGGATTGAACTCAGGGCCTCACACATGCTAGGCAAGTGCTCTCCCACTGAGCTATATCCCTGACACTTTAAAAAATAATTGTTTTGAGATTCTCTTACTAATTTGCTGAGACTGGTCTCCAATTTATGATCCTCTTGCTTTAGCTTTCTGTGTCGCTGGGATCACAGGCATGTGCACCATATCTAGCTAGTTCATTTTACAAGATGAAAAAAATGAGATCTAAAAAACGCTCCATGGCTCTGACCTTGCCCTGGGACACGGAATCAACAGGCAGCAGAGAGGAGATTTGAACCCAGGACTCTGCTTTGTTTTCTTCAGACCTCAGTTCAACAGCTATTCACTGAGCCCCGATGATGTGTTCTAGGCACTGGTCTAGGTTCCGGGAATACAGTGGTGAGCAGAACCAGCCACAGTCCTGCCCTAGGAGGGAGGCCAGGTAACAATACCTCATCAGATAAATGATTTCAGGTAACAACAAATGTCCCTAAGAAATGTGATGAACTAGAAAGTAACTCAGAGATAGGGGACGTCCTGAGGATCAGAAGACACCTCCCTGAGCAGACGCCATCAAGCAGAACCCTGAAGGATGGGGCCCCTCCAGCCTGATGAAATCTGGGTGCTCGGAAGGGCCTTCTCTGGGGAGAGAAGCATGAGCAAAGTCCCTGAGGTGAGAAGGAGCGTGGCCTGTGTGGCTGGTCCATGTTGAGTGTGGGGCAGTTGGGTCAGGGAAGCAATGAGGGGTGGACAGTAAATTTCATAATACTTGGCTGCTTTTATTCAGGATCTGATGCTGCAGAGTCGAGTAGCAGCCTGAATTCCATGACATAGAGTTGGGATTTTATTCCAAGTACAGTAGGAAGCTATCAGAGAGGTGTGTGGTGGCTTGTTTTTGAAGATGACGATGGCTGTTTATGGAGGATGGAAGGATATGAGCAGAGCCAGAGACTGCGGTGGGTGTCTGCCTGGAAATCACGTGGCCTGGAATGGGATGTGGGTGCTGGAGATGAGAGAAGTGGAGGGTCTCAAATCTATGTTTTTTTTTTTTTTTTTTTTAAAGAGAGAGAGAGAATTTTAATATTTATTTTTAGTTTTCGGCGGACACAACATCTTTGTATGTGGTGCTGAGGATCGAACCCGGGCCGCACGCATGCCAGACGAGCACGCTACTGATCCCAAGCCCACCACTGTATTCCTGGAACCTAGAACATGGCGTCTGCTCAGGGAGGTGTCTTCTGAACCTCAGGACGTCCCCTATCTCTGAGTTCCTTTCTAGTTCATCACATTTCTTAGGGACATTTGTTGTTACCTGAAATCATTTATCTGATGAGGTATTGTTACCTGGCCTCCCTCCTAGGGCAGGACTGTGGCTGGTTCTGCTCACCACCTCCTCCGGGAGGCCTCCTTTCTGTGCGCAGTGGTGGGTGCAGCAGCCTCTCTCCGATTGTCTCTGATGAGGCAGACCCAGCAAGACCCACTAGATCAAGGCTTGGTGGCTTCTCCTCGTCACCTGCCATCCAAACTCCAGACTTCTTTGGGAAAACGGGGTGGTAAAGAGCTGCGTTGATGGGCGAGGGGAGCAGGATCAGTCCTGGTGTGCATTGTTAAGCCCTCACAGAAGGTGTTGGCAGTTGGTGGCTTTCTCTGGAACTTGAGGCCCTCGATACCCCCCTGTCCTCATCTCTGGACCTTAATGGACAGTTATGGGGTAGCTGGAATTGTCTCTGTTCAACATCCTGTTATAGAGATCTCTCTAACCCACAGGAATGAGGAGGGCCCGGGAAGTGACAAGAGAGGTGGGAACGGGTGGTGCTGTCCCCTGGGAACAGGTGACCTGAGTGGGGAGGCTGAAGAGATCACATAAGTCTCTCCCTTCTTTGCTCTGCCTCCTTTCTGACACTGCCCTCTGAGCAAACACTCAGAATCCTAGGCCCAGGGCCAAGGAGGACAGGACTTCCCTTCAGCACCTGGACAACTGTGTGGGCTGCCAAGATCTGCTCCCCGCACCAAGGCCCTGGGCTAGGCCTGACACTGATCCCTCTCTGGTCCTGCAGCCCCCACGACTCAGAGGAGCTCTCCTCTCACACGTCTGGACATCCTCAAGGGTCAGGTTGTCACGACGGGACCAGCACCCACCTCGGGCCCTGACACCTCTTCCACTTCCAGCGCAACCCTGTTTATACCTAGACTCCTCACCTTGGCCAGACGCTTGCCCTCCACTGCCTCAGGGACCACCGGGCCAGCCTCTGTGACCGGCTACAGCTTCATCAGTACCAGAGCCATCACCACAAGACCCACAAAGACCACGGGACCCACAAAGACCACGGGACCCACAAAGACCATGGGACCCCCACTGGTGACAGTATCTCCCAGTGATGCCAGAGTCTCCCCTGCCATCCCTACATCCATCTCTACCACATCCGGGTACCACAGCAGCCACTCGCCCACCACAGGAATATACCACAACCAATTACCCTCCTTCAGGTACCTGTCGGGTGACATTTCCCTACATGTGACCCCAGCTTGTGGGCCCTGAACAGACCTCGGGGCAGCTGTTGTTCCATCCCCACTGGAGCTCTCTATGCTACCCACATCAGGGTGACCTTCCCCTTTTGCTCCCCAGGACCTTCGTGTGGACTGCTGCTATTATGGGAGGTGGGTGACTGGAAGGGACATAAAGGAGGTAGTGGGGATGAGCAGCAGGACCTGGTCTCCTGAAGAGTCTGGATGACAGGAGAGGGGAAGGACCCAGGAAGGGAGTAGGTATTTTTTTTTCCAATCCCTGCAGATTGAACCCAGGGATGCTTTGCCACTGATCTACGTCCTCAGTCCTTTTTTAATTTTTAATTTTGAGACAGGGTCTCATTAAGTTGCTGAGGGTCTTGCTAGGTTACCAAGGCTGGCCTCAAACTTGTGATCCTCCTGCCTCAGCCTCCTGAGTCACTGTGATGACAGGCATGCCTCACTGTGCCAGGCTAGAGTACAGGGACAGAGAGTGGGAAATGGGGGATACTTTAATATGGGTCCCCCAGAAGCCGACTCTGAGATAAAGACTGACATCTTGTTTGGAACACTGGAATGAGGGTGGGGAAGAGGAACAGGGAAGGGGAGGTGCCAATTACCCTCGTGCCCACGTGAAAACTTAATGTGTGTGGGGGGGGACTCTGGATCCAGTGTCACTTATGGGAAGGTCGAGGGAGCTGGAGCGTATACACCAGCTACTGTGGGTCACAAGCACCGCTGCCTGGTGTGGGTCGCATAGAGAGCTCCAGTGGGGAAGGAAAGTTCTTAGGACAAAAGTGTTTGGCTGATGTCCATGGAAATGCTGCGGGCGAGGGGGTGCAGGCTGGCCTCCACCCAGAGGAGAAAGGGGACAAGAGGCGGTCTCTGTCACCGAAGAGAGTAAGAATCTTGATCCCTTCAGTCACAACTGGGAGTCTCTTAGTGTCCTGCTCCTCCCAGATTGTCAGATTTGGGGACACAGTAGAGGAGAGGCATCGAGGTGGAGAGATGCCCCCTCCCCCTGGGGACGCCCTCCCTGGAACTCTGGGTGCCTCACTAGTTTCTGCCTCAGCTGGTCCCCAGGATGGGAGGCGATGACTGCAAAGGCGAATGCGAGTGCTTTCTTTCTGGTCCGGCCTTTCTAGCGCGGCGAGCGAGCACACAGTGGGAGCTGGTCTCCCCCTGCCCTCTGTTCTGCTCCACAGGCCCCCGGATTCTCACCTCACCGTGCTGCTGGCCATGCTGACCTTCCTCCCAGCGTCCATGATGATGGTCATGGTCTATGGCTTTTGGAAGAAGAGACACATGGGAAGTGAGTGGAGCCACCTCTGAGCCTCTCCAGGGAGTAACTGTGCCAGGGGCTGTGACCCCGAGTCCCAGGAGGGGGGCAGGGTCCCTCATCCTGTGTCCAGTCAAGAGGACCATGAGGCACCTGGCAAGGGAGGAGGTGGCCTAGCATCTCCCTAAGGGGATGGCCTTGCAGGAATGAGGCAAAGCCAGGGTTCCGGGGCCCAGGGGCTCTGGGCAGGGCCTGCACCCCATCTCCCTGTCTCTTACAGGTTACAGCCTGTGCAATGATTCTGCTGGAGCCTGGGCAGAGCCACCAAGAAGACCAGAGCCCCTGTGGAAGCCGGCTGAGTTTGAGACCACTTAATGACGGGATGTCTCCCAGGGAGACACTAGGAGCCAGATGAGGAATGGAGACCAGGGTCTGTCCTGAGGGGAGGGGGACAGCTAAAGCTGCCCTCTTTCCACCCAGGGCCACTGGATCCTCAGCATCCTCTGTTCTCATCAAGTTTCCCCATCCATGTGGGGACAAGAGTTGGGGCTCATGAGCCCAGAGGCAGCTGATGTTCCAACAGTCCCATGATGAAGAGGAGAAGGGACAGTGACTAAGAGATGGGTCCACAAAGGGGTCGGTATTAGCAGATCCCAGAATTGTCCAAAGCTTCCCATTTGGCCATGTGTCCTGTGATGGGGCCTCTGCCTGCTGCAGCTGCTGGCCCCTGCCCCCCCAGAAGCCTGCACCCCACCACTGCCACCTGCCGCTGGCCCCTCTTGGGAAGCCGAGAGCCCTTGGCTGAAGGCCGGCCTCTGCAGAAGATGAACTCAGGACTCTCTCCCCAGGATCCTGCACCTGGGCTTCAGCTCTGAGTTCCCAGATGGTCCTGAGGACGCAGCAGCCTCCGTCCTCCATCCTGGGGTGCTCGAAACCCCAGCTCTGCGGAGGGTGCTCACCCACAGACACTGATGGGAGGGGCTATGGTTTGGAGTAAGGGGTCACCTCCTCATCCCCAAGGGGCTTCTGTCCACTGGGAAAAAAATGACTCACTTGTGACACAGTGAAGACAACTCAGAGCTACCTCGGCCTGGAGAAGTGGCCCAGGAAGGCGCAGACAGAATGGGACCCAGGAAGCCTCAGGCCAGGGGTCCACAGAGCCTGCCTTCCACTCGTGGCTCCGAGTTGGCCTCCGCGGTCTAGACCCCTGTCCTGGAATCTAGCAGTGAAAGATGAGGGGTTCCATCAGCCTGCAGTGACCGGAATAGCACCAGGATAAGTGTGACATCTATACCCTTGGCCTTGGTTCAGGGACCTCCTGGTGAGAGAGCAAACCTCATGTCAGGAGGGTGACATAACTGGGGGCTTGGTAGGCAGCTGGGGGAGCACCCCAGGATGGCTGTAAGAAGGGGGACAATGCAGAGAGGGACACCTCTTCCATTCATCCAGCAGAGCGCAGAAGGAGGATTCAGGTTGAGCAACTGACAGAACTGGTCCCAGGACTGACGGACAGACAGACAGACAGACAGACAGACAGACACACACACACACACACACACACACACACACACACACACATGATGACCTCAATCTGGTCAGCAAGCAACCTGCTAAGATCCACTGTCCTGGCGTGTGACTAGGAAGGGCTTAACTTATCTGGGGGAAATGGCTCCTGGAGACCCCACCACCACACTGGTGACCCTTTGCCAGCATCACTGACAGTCCTGATGGCACCAGCTCCCAGAGAGAGAGGCCCGATGGGAAGGGCACTGGAGAAGGAGTCAGGGATGGGGACCAGTGATGCCATTGTCACTGTGTGACCCTGAGCAAGTCACTAACCTTATCTGGGCCTCATTTTCCTCTCTTATGAAAGGGGACAATAATTCCTACCTCTCAAGATTGTTTTCAAAGTACAACAAAATGACACAAATACTGCAAATGTGTGGATGCCGTGATGTTCCTGCCGCTCGGGTTCTTCTCTGGTTCTGTTGCTTCTCACATTTTGCATTTAAGACCTCGTGACACCAGTTCTCTGCTTCATCCTCTCCCCAAGTCTCCTCGGTACATGGGTGTCGGGGCCTGAGATGCAGCTCCTTTGGTGAGGAGTGAAGGGACTGGGGCTGGTGAGGCAGTGACACTGAAATCAAGGCTGGGGTCCAAATCTCCAATGCAGCCCCTCATCCCAGTGTGACCTTGGCCTGTCACCACCCCTTGCTGATCTTGTTTGCTTATCTGGAAAAGGAGGATGGGGATCAGCTTTGAAGACCCTCCCATCATTTCCCAGGTCCAAGGCATGTGCAGGCCCATTCCGTGTCCACGACTCAGCCTGGGGGAGGCAGGGAGGTTGTGGAAGAGCAGTCAGCCCTGGCCTCGGTCAGCCCATGGCTTCAAGGAGAGGGGTGACATGGTGTGGCCTTCACTCAGGGGCGGAGGGCTGGAGTCCTTTCGGGTGGGAGACCTGGGGATCCAGTGGTCTCAGGCCAGCCAGGCAAGCTTCACAGAAACGTGAGCCCCATGTGAGGCCTGGAGCACAGGTTGCAGTCGGGAGGTAAGGGACATCTGTAGGATCCTGAGAGTGGGGGGCACCCAGGTCAGACAGGCCCTGGCAGCTGGGAGCTGTGGGCAGGCCTGCTGGAATGGGCTATGGAGGGACAGAAGGGGCCTGAGGGAGGTACCAGCTGGTGGGTGCTAGACACAGGCAGAGGCCTTGAGATGTCCCCTGAGTTCAGGCAGGGCTGTGTGGGGACCACCAGTCGGCCTTTCTGACCACACCGGGAGCTTCCTGAAACTGGGGGGAAACTGCATGAGCTGTTCACCCTGAGAACCTGCGTTTTAGTCAGCTTTCTCACGGCTGTGACTAAAGGACCTGACCATGCCAACTGCAGAGAAAGAGGACTTTATTTGGAGTCTTAGTCTGCTCCATTGATTTGGGCTCCAAGTGAAGCTGAACGTCATGGTGGGAGAGGGTGGCAAGGGGAAGCAGCTCACGTGGTGATCAGAAAGCAGAGAGACTCCACTCACCAGATACAAATATATTCCCACAGCCACGCGCCAATTCCCACCTCCTCCAGCCACACCCACCACTTAGTTACCAGTCAATCCCTGCCAGGAGATTAGATCGCTGATTGGGGTAAGACTCTCACAACCCAGTCATGCCTCCTCTGAACCTTCTTGCGTTGTCTCACATGTGAGCTTTTGGGGGACACCTCACCTCCAAACCATGACACGTGGGGACTCCTTGGTAGGAATGTGGCGTACTGAGAAGGAACTATAGAACCACGTCCACCTTGCCAGCTCCTGTGGGCCTGAGTGGCCTCCGGGACTTTCTCCTCAAATCCCCGGGCTCTGTCTCCTTCCTGTCCTCACCCTTCTCAGGTGAGCTTGGGGGTGGGGAGCTGGCTCCACTGTGGTCAGGCAGGGACAGGTGGGGCTGGCAGGGTTCCAGACAGGCCAGGGATGCTGCTGGCCTCAGTGGGAGAGAGCAGGGCTCCTGAGACCAGTTGCTACCACTGGAAGGAACGAATAAAGTAGCCCCAGCCCCCACAGGTTGCACACACTCCTTCTGTGAAGTCTGACAAACCAATGTCAGATTCGCCACTCTCCCATTGGCCCTGAATGGGGTTTTCAATGTGGATCACACAGAGGCGCAGGTGCCTGCTCCCCCTTCAGGACTGATGGCCAGGAGCAGCGAGGGCAGAAGTTTCTTCTGTTGGCTTCTGCTGTTGAAAGTCACCTTGCCAAGGCCATCCATGTTCCCTATCCCAGGACACCCTGCCTTCCGACTGACTGGCCTGGGGTCTGGAGCCCCGACGTCCCTTTCCCAGCTTGGGCAAGTCTGGAGGGCTTCTCCTGTCCTCAGGCCTCGAGAGGCACCGGGCCCTGGGCTTCCCCAGGGCCTGAATGACAACCCACTCCTCCTGTCCTGTGCTGCCCCCTGCGCTTCTTTTCCCAGAGCCATCCACCCTCCCTCTGCCTCGCACAGTCTGTTCTCTGGAACCTGCAACGCGATCGTTTTCGTAGCTCGTCTGATGACAGCTGTTTAAAATCGTCCTTGATTAGAGCAGTTTTTCGGCAGAGGCTTAGTGGAGTGCGGATGGCAGGCTGGGGGCTGGTGTGTGGGGATGATGTGGGGCTGAGACCCCCTGCTTTCCTCTTCTCCTTCCTCTCCCTCCTTCTGGATTTAACACCCCCCCCCAGCTTTGCTCTTTCCCACCTCTTCCAGGACCCTCCCCATTCCTGATTCTCCATCTTCTTCCTCCTTTTCTCCTCTGGTCCCCACAGAGCTTCTCACTTTCCTGGAAGCCCTGGACACCAAGTCTATAACCACTGGGGACCAATGGGACTTAGGACTCTGGTCAGACCTCCCAAAAGCCCCCTAACTCTGTCACCCACCTTCAGCAGTTCCTTGACTTGGGGGAGGGAAGAGAAATGGCTCTTAATTCACCATCCGTTCCTCCTCCCACACCCTCGCCAGGGGGGTGGCCTACAAAGGGGAAGAGGCTGTGTCCTGGAGGAGCCTAGGTGGTCAGTCCCAGGGCTGTGAGCCTTCCAAACCCAAAGGTCAAGCCGAGGGCTGGAGGGTCCATGAAGGTCAAAGCCTCCTCTGTCCTCCCCAGATTCCCTGCTTCCCTACAAGATCTCTGCCATCTTCAGCATCTCACCTAGCTCAGGCTGGGTGGCTGGGCTGAATCCCACCCAGCTCTGCTCCCTGATCTCAGGGCTTCCCTGCCCCTCACGTCCTCTGTCCACTGCAGTTCAAGAAGACGACCCATGGCCCAGGAGGCCACACACCTGATCCCCCTCATCCTGATGGTGCTCCTGGCCTCAGGTAAGAAACCAGGGAGGAGGGAAGGGCACGGGAGAGAGGAGAGGAGGATGGAGAGGTGAGATACCCACGAACGGGGCTCTGCAGAGGGGAGAGCAAGGAAAGGGTGCCCTGTGGCCAGAGGCTGGCTCTGGGGCACTTTCTGAGGGTAGCCACAACAACTTGCTCTCTGAGGAGGGAAACCCCACTTCCTAGCCCTGCTGTGGTGGGTGTGGGGGTTCTCTGACTTGAGGGTGTGTTCTCAGGCTCCTGGGCACAGAACACAGAGTTCCTACAAAAACCAGAGGGTGAGATGATCGTAGTGAGATGCCGGTACAAGACCGACCAACGCTCAAAGGTGAAGACCTGGTGTCGGAGAACGTCAGCAAATTATTGTAAATTACTAGTGGGCAGGGGCAGGAAAGAGCCCCGATCCTCCATCCAGGATCATCTCAGGCTTGACTACTTCGACGTCACTATGACTGCACTCAGGGCAAACGACTCCAGAGTCTATTACTGTGGAATCTATGAAAATACCGAGGTCTACATTCTCAGAACCATTCATCTGAAGGTGTCTAAAGGTGAGCTATCCCCCTTCTTATATATGTGGCTCTTGGCCTTCCATAATCACAAGGTGTCAGAGCTGGAGAGGACCTAGAAGTCAACCTTCTCCTACCTAATATCTGGGGCACAAGAAGAAAAGCCCCTTGCTCAGGGTCACCTCTTGATTCTTACTCTTCTCTTCTTCTCTCCTGAGTCCCCTGCGGGCTTCCCTTGCATGAAATGTGCTGGCTGAGAAATACGGTGAAAAATCACCCGACACAGCAATAATTTTGAAAATGAGGGTGGGACTGCTCTGCGACCTTAAGGGTCCTGCTTCCACACTGGGAAGAGAGAGTGAGAACCCAGGTTTTCTTTGTTTATACAAGGGGGCTTCAAAAGGCTTTCAAAGTAATGTTCTTTTGCCAAATAAGGTAGGAGGTGGGCTGTCCAAGCCGAGGGTAACGCCCAAATCCCTGAGCTGGAGGGCTGTCCCATTGGTAGAGCTGGGATCATTCCCAAGGGGAGACCTAACTCCCCATGGCTCACGTCGTGTCACGGGGTGCGTCCCACCGTCACCTGGTGGTCGAGGGCTGAACTGGCCCTAGAAACGGGAGCCTCCTGGTTTCCAGTGGATTCTTCCTTCACGTGTTTCTCTTAACATTTTTGCTGCCACCAACAGGATGCTGCCATCTATTGGGAAGGAACTTAGAGCGTCCCCAAGCTTGAGCACAGCCGAGGAGCAGTCCTTTCTTGGACATCCCCACCCCTGATCCTAACCCCAGGGTTCTCTCGAGGGGCTGTGGGGTCTGCTGCACAGAAAGACCACCGGGAAGTTCTGGGAGTGGGGTGGGTCGTGGAGAAATGTGAACAGACAGGAGGCAGCTGAAGAGCCAGGCAGGCGGGAGACTCAAGGGCTGAGACCTGGAGGTGTCGCACCTGAGGATCCTCACCCTGGACCTGCCCCTAACCACTGAGAGCCTTAGGGTTTAGAATGGCCATTTAGGGGTGATCGCTAATTCTGAGGCCCCTGGGTATTCTTTCTAAGAACTGCAGAGGTGCGGCCCCCTGCCTTTATCTGTGACATCAGAGCTCGAACTGCACCTTCTCAGCCCCCTCTCTCTGTGGAGCTGAGTCTGCCCAGCCATTTGGTCTAACAAGTGCCTGAAGGTCATTCTTGGCCATTTGCTGTCCGAGTTTAGCTCAGTGCTCATTCCACGGATATCACAGGGCCAGGCTAGGCTGTGGAAGAGGAGCCCAAAACCTGAAGTCCCAACTGTATGCTGGAGGACCCCACAGCCTAGATAGAAAGATGGACATGTTCATAAAGGGCTAGGACAGACATGTGCATAAAGGGTGGTAGGTGCCTCAATAGAAGCATGTTGGGTAGAGGCCCAGTGAAGGGAGGGGTCGGACAAGCCCAGGGTGCAGCCTCTCACCCTGAAAGGACTCTGAGGTGGTACCCCCCAGGCCTTGATGGATGATGAGCAGGAATTTATTTAGTGGAGACCACAGGGGTGCTTAGGGGGAGGCTTTAGGGGTTGGAAGTGTAAGACATGCTCAAAAAATAGCAAAAACAGAGATGCCCACAACATAATCGATATATAAGTGACACTAAAGCCGCTCACGCTGTGGCACTTCCCGATGAGGGAAATGGAGCAGCACATCCCCTTCTGGTCCAAGGCCATGTGTGGGCTCCTCCCATCCAGGGCTAGGATCTGGGAGTGGGAGACCTGGAGTGCAGGGGAGCAGATGGGCACTCCACGTATTGTCATCTCTTACAGCTTCAACCCCTCCCACCACCAGGAGCATCAGAATGACACAGCCATGGTCTTTGCCACCAACCCTGTCATTGGAAGGTAGTGCTGAGCCCCTCCCCAATTAGCCCTGTTTCCTCCCACCCTTGGTGGACTGGGCTGGGTGCCCCCAACTCCTGAGGGCGGGGATTCCAGAGATGTAGCCCGATGCCAGGCAAGACCATGGCTGTGGCTTCTGCCTCTGTCCCTTCTCCATCTTCAGAAAGAGCAGGGGGCCATCCCAGAGCTGCAGGGCGTCTGGGGAAAGGCGTGGTCTGTAGTCACGGATTGTTGTCTGCTGCCACCCCAGAAAGTAGGTCTCTGTCCCCTGCCCTCTACCCACCCTCCCTGCAGATTGTGAACCTGGGCTCTTGTAAACCATCCCAGGACAAGAGATTAACCCAGAAACCAGGTGCCTGTCAGTGGAGCTGAGAGATGTCCCTGGAACTACTCCCTGGCCCCCCTCTGACCCTGATGCCCAGTCACTTTCCCTAGGAGCCTGCTCCAGCGTAAGGCTGCCTCCCTCTGTGTCCTCCCTCTGCTTAGGACAGGACCTAGGGAAATGCTTTATTAGCAGGCAGAGCTGTTGTCAGGTGACCCCAGTGTACCCTGAGAGCTGACTGCACCTCGCAGAGAAGGGCTAGGGTGAAGCAGTAGGGACAAAGGTCAGTTCAGGAGGCTAAGAGGGGTGCGTGCAGACCCTCCAATGGCGGCCTGGAAGGAAAGTTAAGGTGCAAAGGTCAGAAAAGGAAAAGGAAAAAAAAAATCTCATGACATCAGCAGCATTCTTACTTTGCAGAGGTGAGACCGTGAGACTTGCTAGGCAGAGCCCCTGCCAGTGTGGCTGCCAGTGTGACTGTTTCCTGCTAAGCCCAGCAGCAGGGACAGAAGGGAAGCTCAGGAAAGCCCGGAGGGACCACAGGCATGGGGAGGGATGGTTTTCTGGCAGGAGGTGAAGCTGGACTCCAGCTCCCCTCACCTGGCTGGTCCTTGTTCCCAAGCCCTTCAGGCAACCGGAAGTGGATATTCATCTCCTCTGGCCTGGTGGTGGCCGTCCTGCTGCTGGGGTTCATTGTCCTCATGGTCCTATATCTCAGGAAAGTCCGAGGAAGAGACAGGAAAGGGAGCCCCCTGTCCTTGGCTCTGGGTGGACTACTGACTGCTCAGCCATTATAGGCAGTCCTCTCACCGTGGGGACGAGGCTTATCATGCTCATTTTACCAACAAGGAAACTGAGAAGAGGTGCTGTGTCCAAGTGGTTCTCCTTCCCTTTGCCAGATGGCAGGTCCCCTGGTCCTGAGGGTTAACCAGTCAGTCTTCCTTAGAAGCTCCAGGGTCAGCTCACCTGAAGCCAATTCAACTCCATGCCCATTTACCTGAATCTAGGTGTGCTAGGTTTACCCATTTGGGATCGTATACTTTTACCATCTTTATGTTTAAGGACTTTTAAACAAGTCTATGTAACGAACTTTTCCGGGTAATGACATTTAAAAAATATTGTTGCTATCATTTTTATATTTCATCTTCCTCATGGTAGGGAATGAAATGGGGAGATAGAGGCCAAAAGACACCAAGTAGCAAATATCCAGGATGAATAAGTCAAAAGACCTAATGTACAACATGAGGGCTGTGCTAATAATGGCACATTCTGTGCAGGATTTCTGCAAAACTAGGAGATTATAACTGCTCTTGCCACAGGGAGGATTATGGGTAATGAGGAGAAGATGTGTTAATTTCTTCTACTATGGTAACCATTTCACTGTGGTTATATATTTTGTAATATCAAGTTGTACACCTTAAATATACCCAATGATTTTTTTTTTCTTCCATGTGCTGGAGAGGGAACTCATGACCTCAGGCGTGCTAAACACATGCTCTACCACTGAGCTACACCCTCAGCCCCACAATAAAATTTAAAAATACACAAATGAAAGGGGAACAAAGGGGATTTATTTTTGCCCTCCTAAAAGCATTTCTAGGACTTTAATCTTCAAAGTTTAAAGTTTCTATCATCAGTTGCATGTGAAGTCTGCCGCACTTTGATGACTTCTACCACTTTTCTTGATTCTTTTTTGTTGATTGCTTTCTTTAGAACATGAAACTATGTGCTTGTTAATTGTATGCCCTGGAGATGGTTCTGTTGACAACAAGATTAAAATGTATGCATGGGTCAGAAGTATATGGGAGCTCGTGGATATGATTTTTTCAAGTACAAATCCTCAGGGGAAGAGAGGATTATAAAATTTTAGATGTATATTTTTCAAACGGTATAAAATCAGTTTAGTGGGTCACAACAGCATTTTTATAAAGCAGAATAGAAAAGCAAAACGTCAAAATGCTTCGCACAATTTCTCGCTGAACTTTGAAAAGTGAGTGCCCAGGTGTGAGAGTGTGAGTTTGTGGGGTAAATGGTATTTCTCATTGAGGTTCCTGGATCAAAAAATTTGAAAGACATTACTGCAAATAACTGCATCAGCAAATAGATCCTACCTAAATTTGATGTTTAAATTTGGAATTCTCTGTGCACCGGAATTGATAATGAAGTTTACCTAGCTTGGGCCAGTTAGACACGGGCAGCTGGGTTGTCTTGCTCCGTAGTGTCCTTGGATACTATTCTGTACCAGGCCCTTGAGGCCTCTCCAGGCAGGAACAAGCTCTGGCCTCTTCCCATCAGAGTCCCTTCCACCCAGCCAGGGCCTGGTCTCTCTGCCTTATTCCAAGGGAGCTGGGTAGAGGTCCTTCCCCTAAGTTTGAGTCTTCTTCACAGGTGAAAAGGAATCCCACCACATCTATGAGGACATTTCAGACCACAAGGAGGTGAAGGCCCCTGTGAGTAGGACAGCCCTCCCCTGGGACAGGAACGGACAGACTTCCCACATACATTAACTTCCCAGCCTGTGCCTTCTCACAGTTTCTGTTCACCCCAGACCTTGACTTACTCATGGCTGCTTGGGCCATCACCGCCTTGAGACCCATCTACTCACTTCCTTTCCCCAAACTCCTCAATTCACATTCGTTGGAGAGAGTTGGCTGACCTGGCTCTTGACCTTCACCCCAGGCCTTCACAGGAGGCAGCTTCTCCTAAGAGGCCGGGCCAGAGCCTGCCCAGGGCTTGGCTGCCTGGGTTCAATTGCATGGGGCCAACACGGGAAGCAGGATGGCTCCTCAGGGACTCTCAGCAGGGCTGAGGACTGGGCAGCTTCTCTTGGGTAGGCCTGTCCCGTCTAAATACCTGATGGACTCACAGAAACATAGGATGGGAAGGACCTCAAGTCCTCGGGTTCAGCCCTTGTGTAATGCTGGGATCACACTACAAATAACACCCCTACCCCGTGTTCTAGCCCTCTCCCCAGGGACTTTGCCTCCGTGGCTCTGGAGTGGAGCCTGGTTCTGCATTTTTAACAAGTTCCCGGTGATGCTGATGAGGCTGCTTCACAGACCACACTGCGTAGCCTTATTCCTCACGCGCGGTGACCATGAAAGCCATTCACGACCAAAGGCTCTGCAGGATCCATGCCTTGTCCTACATCTCATCTCTGTCCTCCACTCAGTTCCGGGCCCTCTGAGGGCCCCTGACCACCGCAGCTGTGGTCTGTACAGTGGGACGTCTATCTTTTTTGATTTCCAGGGCTTCCATCAGCAGATCCTCTCTGATGAGGACACTGCGGCCATCTGCTATGCGTCCCTCATCCATCTAAACCACTTTGGCACTGAGGACCCCATCTACAGTAACACTCACCCCAACTCCAACCCGCAGCCCGTGCCCGACCCCCTTCAGACTGTGGAATATGCCAGCATGACGGGAAAAAGACTGCCACCCTCCCGCCAGCTGCCCTCAGTGGGGAGCTTGGGAATTGAAGCAGAATTCACCAGGCAGTGACCACTGGCCAAAATGCTCCCTAGGTACAAAGCTACTCTACCAGCAATGGTGGGGACTTGATGTGGCAGAGATGACCACAAGCCGTCAGGGGCCACACCCTTTGGAGGCAGAGTGCTGCCATAGACAAGCTGTGGGCATAAGAGAGCGGTTTCTGGGTCCCTCCCTAGTACCGCCCCCCAGGGGCTGGGAAGAGTGCTACAGCAGAGTCCAACTAGGCAGGGGCCTGGGGCCCTCGGAGTAACCCATTTTTTTCTTTCTTTTCTTTCCTTCTTTCTTTTTAAAAAATATTTCTAGTTGTGGATGGACATAATATCTTTATTTTGTTTATGCAGTTTTTTACGTGGTGCTGGGGATCAAACCCAGTGCCTCACGCGTGCTAGGCAAGCGCTCTATCATTGAGCCACAACCCCAGCCCATCTGAGTAACCCATTTCTTGCCTCCCTGTGTGACCATCACTTCCTCTTGACCAGGGGCCACAAAATCCTGCCAGATTGTGCAAGTTCCCCTGTTGGTGCTTCTCGGAGTTTCTAGGCCAGCGCTGGGGAGCGCTACCCACCCCAGCTCCCTCCTCTCCTGCCTGGCCTCCTGATTCTACCTCCATTCCCACCCTTAGGATTCTTAGACTCTGCCAGGAAGAACAGTGGGATGCGGGCAGTGCCCACTGCTCTTGAGCCCTTGCCCTTGCCAGGTAGTGTGGGTGGGGGGGCTTCCTTCCCTGTGGCCATTCACACAACTCCATCTGAATTGATTCGGGCTCCTCTGCCCTCCGTGGAAGGCGTTATTCCCTTCAAACCTGCATCTTAGTCACGCCCAGCAGGCTGGCCAGGGCCCTGCTGGAGACAGGGTCTCTTTTTCTTTATGTGCCCTCAAAAAGTGACTCTGAGTGCTGAGCCCGGGGGGAGCGGGGGATCCAGGTCAGGTGGCAGCAGGATAGTGTTCTGCTGTCTCTGGAGAAGCTCATTGGGAACTGCAGGTTTGTCACTTCTCCAGGGTCACTCAACCTGTGTTCCCCAACTTGGGTCTCTTGCCTGCAAGTGGGGATGTAAACCCCACTTTTCAGGCTCCAATAAAGAGTCCCGTGGACTCAGCTTGGCCTTCAGTCTCTCCATGAAGGGAGCTCGCCTCTTCCTGCTCAGGCAGTTGGTTTGTGAAGGTTTTTGTGGAACAGGACATGGCCTGCCCTTGGTCACGAGGAGACCTCTCGGCCTTGCCCACAAGGTGGGAATAAGGCCAGGCTGCACCATGGCCAGAAAGGGAGTGAGTGGTTGGGCAAGAGAAGGACAGGAGGTTTGGTGTCTGGGGGGCTGTGCTTCCAGGATGAGGTCTTCCTCTGGGAGGAAGGCGAGCAAGCTCCTGTCTTCTCTGACTGTGACATCTGTGCTGCCATCGTCTGCAGTGTTGATGGCAGGATATCAGTGTTGATGTGGTCTGTCCTCGGCCTCTGTCACTGTGGGACACAGTCTGCAGACCTGTAGGACCAGGTCCTCAGGTTGTGGGAGGTCTGAGCGTCACCCTGGCTCCTGGGGTCTCTGCCCTGCTCCACTTGCCCAACCCTCCTCCTGCAATCCAGATCTGACTGCTAGAGGGAGGCGATGGCTGCACTCTGACTCTACCTGTCTCAGCCTTGCTCTGAGGAGGTCATTGGGATTGACCGGCAGCCACACTTGACCTCTGGTCCTTCATGACCCCCAGCAGCACTTCTGCTTTTGGTGTATATTTTCTCCTGTGTACCCACTGGGGGAGCCTATCTTCACCAGGTGCTCCCCAACTTGAGTCTCTCGCCTGCAAAGCTGGCTGCCACCCCAGGAGTTATCCTGGGATTTAGTTTCCTCTCAAACTGTCAAAACTGAAGGGTTAGCTTGGACTGGAGGTCCTGGAGCTGGCTGACCTGTATTCATTAGAGAAATATTTATGGGTGCCACAGACAGGCACTTGGCTCGGGGTTGAGGATACAGAAGTTAATTTCAATAGGCCAAAATGGAGAGATCACGTAATGCCAGATTCCTCCATGTGGATTAATGGCTCCAAGATCCCCAAAAGAGAACTACGTTCTCCCATTTTGCAGATGGAAAAATTGAGGCACAGAGAAGCTAAGTAACTCCCTCAAATTACACAGCTAGTAAATGGTAGATCCTAGACTTTGAAGTTTTAACAACTTCATTTCTGGGTCCCTGTTTACTTAAAAATGTGTGTGTGTGTGTGTGTGTGTGTGTTTGTGTGTGTGTATAAAACACTAGTGACAATACAAACAGGCATAGATACAGCTGGAGGAATGCTGCAGGGGTTGGGGAAGGGTGGTGGAACATGAGCTTTTGTGATATAAGCCTCCAGAGGCAGGAGGCGATCACAGGGGTGCAGCAGACCTGTGGGGCCAGGCACTCAGGTTGAGGGAGGTGGGCTGGAAAGTTCAATGGGAGAGATTCCCAGTTCTCAATTAGACCCCAGCACTTGGGTGGTCCTTCCACCCATCCCCAGGGAGGGAGCTGGCCCTGTGACCACCAAAGGCCTGGGAGTCCCTTTCCGGAGCTGTATATAGCCTTTCCCTTTTCTCAGTACTGGGTCTCCATGGCAACCAAGCCACCCCTAAACCCTAGGCCCCATGGTCGAGGTAGGAGGGGATTGCTCATCCTTGACCCCTGGAGCCCCAGGAGGTGTGAGGTCATTGTCATGTCCAAGCCACCCACCCCAGGAGCAGCGTCCCTGAGGGTCTGTCAGCAGCTGCATAGCCCCTGCTTCCTATGCCTCTCCTCCTCTTCAGGCACTTGGTGCCACATGGGAGGACTTCATTCCTCAGCTCGTCCATTTTATTTTTCAGTGGTGGCTTCAAGCCACCGCGTCTTGAGATGGTCTGATATGCAGCAACAGGAAACCAAAACACACAGCCGAGGCAGATCTGGAGAAGAACGAGGGGAGGAGGCAGGCCGTGCCCACCAGAGACCAAGACTTACAGTAACGTGATGATAATTACTGTGCCATTCTTCCCCGGGAAGTCGGCCAAGGTGACAGGATGGAGAGGCGAGAAGCAGCCCATGGATGGGTGGGAGTGTGATATGCAGCAGAGCAGGCATCAGGAGCACAATTAGCTATCCATCTGGGGGAGATAAAATTAGGTCCCTACCTTATGTCTCACACAAAAATAAATTCTTGGTGGGGTTTAGATCTCAACATGAATAGCTGAACAATAAAATGTTTAGACAAAAATACAGGAGTTTTTATGACTTCAGGCTGCAGAGGGATTTCTTAAGTAGCTCATCAAAGGCCCAAACCACAAAGGGTAAAAAAATGTAATGTTATTGACTGTATTAAAATAGAAAACTGTGGTACAGAAGAAGGTCCTGGGAATAAGATAAGAGGGGGAGCTGCAGACTTGGAACTGTTGTTGCTCTGCAGTTACCTGATGAAGGATCAGAGGCTATGATTTGTAAGGTCATTCATATCAATTGAAAAGGGACAAACCATTTTCAAATGGCATATAGGTTAAAAACAAAGCAGATGAGAACATTTAAAAACCAAAGGCATTTAAACAACATTGAGCTTCGCCAACAACCAGAGAAACTCAGTTCTTAACTAGATATGTATCTCTAGCAGAGGCAGTTGGGGGCTTCAAATATATCTAATAATTTATTTTAAAATACATGAAGTTATTTTTCTATACACACAGAGACAGATGTTCATAGATAGAAGGATAGATAGATGGCTTCCCATTCATTTTCTGATTCTGAGAGTTGATGATAATCCATAGAAAAATATTTAGTTCCATGTATGAAATTGAGCAGCCCAAATGACTTTTTTTTCTGTAAAAATGCATATAAAATCATTTGGGGTGTGTTCTGACATCAGGTTTCTGTTACATCAAAGGTTTATGCAACAGAGGGAAAACATTTAAACATGGAAATGGAAAGAAGAATCTAGATATGGTACTATACATAAGCCTGAGTGTGAAATTTTACTGTAAAATTCCATGTAATACAACATAAGAGAAAACATAGCCTTTCATTCCCTTCATTTTCATATAGAGCCAAATACTTCTGGACAAAGTTGGTGATTGGTACAAATGTGAGTTATATTAACTATGCATTTCTGTATGCTTAAAATATGTCCTACTTTTTAAACACATCTATTGCAACAGTCCCTGCAAGGGCTGATGTGGACATAACCCTGGGTTCTGTAATGTGAAGGTAGGGATTGGCACAGCCACCACCCAGCTGGAGGACAGAGTTGGAGCCAGCAGGACTCAGAGGTGAGGGGAAGAGTGGGGAGGGGCGGTGGAGAAGGAGTGATCGTGTTCTGCCTGGTGCAGGCGATGAGGAGGAAGGGGAATTGAAAACACATAGAGACGCCTACCTGATTTGACCAGCAGAAGCTTGAGGCCAGGGAGTGACAGCGAAAGAGAGGCTGGGAGAGAGAAGCACTCTGGGGAGAAGCTCAGGAGTCTAGGTTCAGAGGCATTTGCCTGTGTGGGTAACTGCTGGGTGGCTCAAGAAGAGAAATCAGGACGAGGGGCACTTGCTGACCTGGGGAAAGTGGACAGAAGAGCTCTGACACTTGGCAGGTGCTTTTGTTTAGGTGATAAAGAAAGGAATAAGAAAGAGAAGTTGCCAGAGAGGTAGCACAGTACCCATTTGCTGTTCCAAAGTGTAAGCTAGCTGCAGGAACAAAACCCCTAACTCAAGTTTACTTCTCACTCCGGTCCTAGCACAATGTGGGTCAATGAGAAGGCTCTGCTCCACACAGTCACTCAGGGACCTAAGTTTCTTCCCACTGGAGGCTCTGTTACCTCTAAGCCTCAGGGAGGCCATGGACCCCTCTACTCCTGGGCAGCAAATGAGAGGAGAGAAAGAACTAGGATTGTCCAGGAGGTTCCGTGGGCCAGGCCTGGAAGTAGTGTAAGGGTAAAATTTCTAAGCTGATTCTAAGCCGCAAAGCCTGAGTTAAAGTGTAAAAGACCGGGCATTGTAAAGTTTCTAAACTGCAAGGCCTGGGTTAAAAAGTAAAAGACTAGGTATTGTTAAAATTCCTCTGCTACCCCCAGAACCTGTAATCCCTGTAGCTGTTAGGACAATACTGGAACTGCCCAGTAAATATTCTCATTGACTCCCTGGTTGTCTAATAACCTGGGATTCTGTGTAGTACGTCACGTAGTTATTTAGGCCCTAAAACCAATCAGTTTAAATGTGTACCCCGCTTAGGAGTGACCAATCACCCCTGCCCAGTCTGTTCTCACCAATAAATGTACTAA